GATTGAGTCTCTTGTATTGGTGTTGTGTTAACAGTGCTAGATGATAGAGATGTAAAATTGATATAGGAAGTTCTCGTGACAGGGATTGAGTCTCTTGTATTGGTGTTGTGTTAACAGTGCTAGATGATAGAGATGTAAAATTGATATAGGAAGTTCTCGTGACAGGGATTGAGTCTCTTGTATTGGTGTTGTGTTAACAGTGCTAGATGATAGAGATGTAAAATTGATATAGGAAGTTCTCGTGACAGGGATTGAGTCTCTAGTATTGGTGTTGTGTTAACAATGCTAGATGACAGAGATGTAAAATTGATATAGGAAGTTCTCGTGACAGGGATTGAGTCTCTTGTATTGGTGTTGTGTTAACAGTGCTAGATGATAATCAATTTTACATCTCTCCCTGTCACGAGAACTTCCTATTGTAATGTGAGAATATCACTATTGAGGGAGTGCAATGTGTGAATCAATATAATAACTCCTCATTCCACCCATTTTAAAGATGCTACCTTTATTAAAACAAAACCCATCGTTAATATTGGTAGTTGGATTAAACATTTAGCAGATTTTCATATAAATTCGAAAGTATAAAATATGCTGATGTTGAACCTAATTGTTGAACAGTTCATTTTTCAAGGCAATTGCTACAGCTTTTACAGCGGCAAAAGTCTCCTCTCCCGATGGGATGATTTGTTTAGTAGGAATGAAAAAACCGTGTTTTCCTGTGTCTCTCAGTTCCACAGTGTAGGAATATTTCACCCCAGCAACACCGTAAGCCCAGTCGTCTGCTCCACCTGAGGCTCGGTCTGTAAAAAAGAGACGTTCAGAAGAAATAACGAAGTTATTTTTTACTCACCTATCGGACTGTATAAGTTATTACTCATCCATTTTGAAGTTCGTAATGAAGTTAAGTTATAACTACGGTTAGAGATCGTATGCTATTAGATATAAGCTGAGTTAAAGCTTCTTGAATCACGGTTGATGCTTGATCTATTATTTTAGTTAGCACGACGTATAGTGAAGTGTGAGACAACTTACAGAGAAGATTCGTAGATGATCCTATATTGAAATTAGTTCCATGGACAGATTTCAAGGCTTTCGTGCCTATGCTGGCAAGGTTGTACTAGGAATAAAAAACATTTCTTTGGTTAATTTTTGATTGGTAACATTTGAATAATCCCCGAATTCTATAAATTATTCATTGTAGATAAATTCAAAAAATTATGTGCTATGCAAGTGTATGGTCACTTATTTTTCTTTATTTATCATATAACTGGTACCAAGGTTTCAGAATATATTAAAGGTATGTGAACAAGATTATTATTAGTTTCTTCTCTTGTGTGTTTATCACTTTGAATTGACGATGACAAAACTAATATATAACCTCTCTTTCTGTTTGATAACCAGACATTTTAATTCTAATAATCACTGAGTAAAGAATAGAATTTTATTTCTGTTCTTATAAATTTTCTTAGAAATTGAATAAAATAAAAACGTAGATTATTAAACTACATCATGGATTAAAAGAAAATTCACCAGCACTGTTTTAATTTTTTATTTTCTAAGTAACTGTTTATTAGATTTTATTGTACTAATAGTTTCGTTTTTGAGTTTACTTAACGATTATAAGTATTATTTTATTACAAGTTACAACTTTTACAGTGAGAAAGATTTTTTTTAAAAAATAGGTATGACGTCGTTATCACTGGTGTAATAATTCCCATCAGTGATCGAAACGTCGTATGTGTTTAAAAAATAATCTACCTTACTGTAAAAGCTGTAACATGTAATATAAAATATTTTCTTGTGCTACTTTAGACTCGAGTGTGGTCCAATGGTTAGGCGTGTTGCAGACCCAGTTCCAGCTATTCTTAAAGAAGAGAGGGGAGACAATGAGAAATATAATGGATTGTTTGTTTGAAGTTAAGCACAAAGCTACACAATGGGCTATCTGTGCTCTGCCCACCACGGGTATCGAAACCCGGTTTCTAGTGTTCTAAGTCCGCAGACTTACCGCTGTGCGACATAAAATGGAGCAAACCAAACCAAAAATATATCGAAAATTAGATTAATGGGCGGCATTAGCTTGGAGGATAACAAAAATTCAGGAGTCTTAGCCCCCTGGCCCAGTCGCTAGCATCGACCCTGTTGCATATGATTGTAGATCCTTAAGTTTCGTGTTCAAGACATGGCGCTTCCCCTCACAATCTACAGTTTTTATCTATGGGTGCGCTAGGAATAAAAGAGTCAGTTCTGTTCATCATTCGGTTAAGAGAAGCCACTTTAGGCGGCGAGTGCTGCCATCTGATTGCCTTCTATACAGCTTGAAGTTGAAAATTAATGACGGTTATGCTTGAACTATACGAATTTTTAATGGAATTTTTTGTATATGCTTATTTCAATAGCTCTAAAAAATAGATTTTTTTGTGTCTTTTCTTAAATGTATTGTCTATATGATACAATTATTTTTGTTTTGGAATAAGCAGCTATAATATGAAGTCCAACTAAATGTAACAGCCCAAATGTTGCAACACGTTACAGTTTTCAAATATAATAAATTAGAGATTCGTTTATATGATCATCTGCAGCTTTATTGGCCAGCAACCGTATTATTCAATGGTTGTGGCACCCTTTCGTTGCGTACACACTTATAAAATGTCTTGGAAACTAATAGGGAGTATCAATTAAAATAAAAGTAGTCAAAGAGAATATCTTGATTAATAGGGTATTCTTCATATTATTTAAAAAACTACAATAAGTTGGGTGATTATCAGATGAAATTTGACGTGTTTTGATGAACAAATTCAACAAAATTTTCTTCTAGAAAAATGGTTTAAAATACTGTTGGGAACTTTTAAATGTTTTATGTACGAACAATATCAGTATAAAATATTTCATAAAAGATTAAAAATATTTCCAGAGTTCATACCTGGTCTTTATAGTCTGTGGGAAGTTGTGACGTCCAGCCCCATGGAGTAAGCCACATCTGAGCGTAAGAATGTACATCAAGGTATAACTTTACTCTGTTGTTTTTTGACAGAATAAAGTCCGAAATAGCTTTAGTTTCAGGTTCTGAGAATGCTTTAGGCCCAGCATATATATCAGAACATTTCCTGTTACTGGCGCCACCTTCTAACGATTCATATGAAACATTAATTATCATTTTCTGTTTACAATGGTTAATTCCAATTGCATTTGTACTTTCTTCTTTTCATTAATGTTACTGAATTAGAGTGTTTAAGTACATATTGGAAGTTATAACTCATTATTAGAAATATATAACAACGACTTTCGTAAACAACAACAATTTTTTTTATTAAACTCAATGTTTCAGCTTGCGCCTTTTTCAAGGGTTAGGTGGCACAGATGCCAATCCTTTCACAAAGGCTATGTCCAAACGTTTAACTCTAAATTATAAACTTTTTTCTGTAGTCTGTCTTTGTACTTTTTAATAAAAGTATTATTTCATTTTTTATATACAAAACTCCTTTGTTGATTTTTTATTTTAGAGTTATGATTTCATTTCAATTTTATAAATTTTTATCAATTTAAAATAATCCTGTATAACTTACTCATATTTGAAATAATTACTTTTTACATTTAATTTATAGTCTGAAATCTCTCCGATAATGTAAGGACCATAAAAACTAAGATATGTAACTTACTATTCCACTTAAAGCTCCAATTTCGATTAGGATCCACACCTCTACAGCCTCTAATTGATTTTGTATGTGACCTTGTCTTACGCCAGAGTCTATTCTACCGCAAAACAATTTAATTAAAAATACCTTTTACGAAAACATATATTTTTCCAACTAGAAACAATCAATAAACTTTTCCAGTATTTGCCAAAGGCCTATTTTTGCTAATTCTATTCCATTGGTGTACATATCAAAGTATTTCTGCACTACTGTAATCCTTATAAATCACAATTATTATGAACCACGGTAGTGGTTCATAATGTGAATCGCAAGGAATTGCGCAAAACCCTAATAGAACGTTCGGGCAAAAAGCACCTTCAATAGTAAAGATTCAGTTCAAAAAATACTATAAAACCTTTACTATTGACTGTTAATGCCGTACACATATCAAAATTAAAAAAAAACACGCATGTTAGACTTACAATGCAAAGAAAATCCGCTCAAAATAGCCCGTTTATAATTCGTCTTCTTGTTATTACTATTCTCTTGCCAGCCTACAATAAAAACGGATTGTTATATTGCACCCAAATCTTTTGTAGAATACTAAAAAAAAACATCATAATTATAGTGTAAACGATGTTATCATTACCCCTTGAAGTTAGATATTTTCACAAATATATGGTGTTCCTTTAAAAAGCTTAAGTATAGGGTGAAACAGCAATTACAAGTCAATAATAGATGAACATCAGATGATTGTAAAATCTAGATACTCAATGCTTTGTACAATCGACGTCTTTAGGGAGCCTACCCCTATATTATGTGTGAAGTGAAAGAGTAAAAAAAATCGATACAAATAATATTAAATTTTAGAATAACAATTTTATAAGACACGAAGACTTATTTAAAGCGATGTTTTAATCGTATATGTTTTATTTGAAAAGGCTGTTTTTGTACTGGTAAAATTTCCTTCACATTTAGTGAGGGTTGTGTCTTAGTCTAAGCATATATTTGCTAATTGCTATGCATTATATATTTAGAGAATTTATTTACACAGAAACTATAAATGGTCACTATATTCTCAAACAAATCTCCATGAGAATCTCCAGCTGCAGCTTAACATTTTACATCTCGAACTAATGTGATCAAATACTCAATAACTACAGTAAATCGTCATGAACCGTATCAGCTAGCTACTAATTATGATTATTATCATTACAATGTATAAAGCTAGCTACCATATCGAGTAATCCTTTGCCCACAGTTGAGCATAAAAAACCTATCAAACAAGATAAAGAAAAAAATGGAAATTTAAAAACCTGCAAATAGCGATCACACAAAAGTAAGGAAACAATGAAACAGTATCCTCGGGCTTGTTTCCTTACTTTTTTACGATTCTTATTTGTAGGTTTTCAAATTCCCAATTTTTTATTTATTTTGTTAGATAGTTTGATTTAACTAGATTTATGGTTCTCTGAAGACATACACATTAGTGTGAAGTAAAATTACAGATATAAGTATATTTTATTTCCATCATAATTAAAGTAGCTAATACCGGGTTAATAAGAAAATGTATATTTTGTAAACCATTCTGATGTGGCAATCTATATATATATTTTTTTTTCCATAGTGTTGTGCAGTATCTTTAGATGGTTGCACTGTTCGTGAATGAATAAATTTGTGTGCTTTGTGAGAAGCGCTAAGAGTCTGTGGAACTGGTTATGATGTCCCTGGAGTGGAGTTCTGTAAATGTTCAAAAGAAGATGTAATATTGATGACCGGTTGATGATTGTACATGTTTGTACACTGAATAGACATATTATTAAAATCCTATATATTATGTTGGACAGCTCTGTGTCATGAGGATAGCTTTTACTCGGCTTGGCATAGACTCTACAAGATACCAGAAGCTGTTTTATTCTATTGTAATACAGTCGTCGAAAAATATTGTCTGAAATTGGCTCACAAATGTGGTCAGAATGTTCAAGTTCACTATAAAGATGCTCAATAAAATTGAGATTCGGTGACTATGCTGGTCAAGGAGGATCTCGAAGGTCACTGTCACGCTCATTGAACCATTGTTGGATAATATCGAAAGATCTCCTACCCATTAGACTGGAACTGTAGTATTGTGAATTGTACAATGTTGGAAACAACATTCGGGTACTCTTGTTTCTTAGTCGCCTTTCGAAAAGATGACAAGAGACTCAGTTCCCTCAATAAGGTTTTTACACATTACACTCTCTCGTTAATGGTTCACACATTACACTTCCTCGTTAATGGTTCGCACGTTGCACTCTATAAAGTTTTACACATCGCACTCATTGTTAGTAATTCACACATTACACTCACTCGATAAAGTTTTACACATAGCATTCATTGTTAGTGATTCACATATTACATTCTCTCGATAAAGTTTTACACATAGCACTTCACATATTACATTCTCTTGATAAAGTTTTACACATAGCATTCATTGTTAGTGATTCACATATTACATTCTACTTGATAAAGTTTTACACATAGCATTCATTGTTAGTGATTCACATATTACATTCTCCGATAAAGTTTTACACATAGCATTCATTGTTAGTGATTCACATATTACA